CCAGCAAACCTTGCGTCTGCAACTATCAACGGAGAAGGTGCCACTCTCTTGTACTACACTTGGTGTAGCGTTCCCGCCCTCGTCGACCAGAAATACGTGAAGCCTGAGGATTACACAGGAGAGGTAATTGAGGTTCAGTAAACAAATAGCCCACACGCGTTGCCAGTGGCTATCGTTGACCTCGATTTACCGTACGTGGCGGGGAAAATTGAATCTGCGTTCGTGGATAAGCTATCACATGATGTCATATTAAGATATCGTTACCTGTTTCCGCAACTGAACCCCAAAACCAGCACACCGAATTCGGTGAGTACTGTAGAAATTGTGTCCAAGAGAAAATAAACGAAAGCGAAGCCGATGACAGTTACGTCAAAATCGGTCAATAAAATACTTCCGGCCGAGTTGAGGACGCTTCAGCAGGAAGACGAAACTCTGGTGGAGTTTCATAAAAACACTGCAGAAGGAATGGATATAGAAACTCCGAATGGCAAGATGAAGTTCATGTACAAGAAGTGGATATTTTTCGCCACGCCAGGAAAGGAAACGAACTCTTCAATCAAGTCGTCGTGCCAAAAATAATTAGTCAGACTGGAACATTACTTTGGAATTCTAGTGAATACAGACCATTTGTTGAGTATATTACTGTAATGCTTCTAAAGACTTATCATTTCACAATTCAGGCCATTGGCACATTCGCAAATTAGAAACTACAGGTACATCAAACCATAAAATATTGCAATTTAGTTGAGCTTCATACCTTTGGATTGGAGATAGAACTTTTAGGACCATTCGGGATTTAATTCCCAATTATGTAAGTTCTTATCCAAATGTTCTATTTTTATTCTTGGGAAAGAATTTACCTTTTAAACTTTACACACCTAATTGGTTTTAGCTCTTTATTGTTACTTAGTTTATGACCATGAGAAAACACAGAATACGCAGAATTTGTACCGACTATGAAACATTCCTAAACAGGTCTGATGATCTATCTAAACATTTAATTTATCGAGGCTATGACAAAGACCTGAAGACGGAGGCAATAAAAAGGGTTAGATAACAAACCGCGATGACCTTCTAAAATACGGAAAGAAGAAAAAGGCTGATTGAGTAGCATTTATCCTAACCTACCATCCAGACAACCCCAAAGTAGTCAAAATCATAGCGGAACACTTGGCCATCGTAGAATTGTCTGATGCACTAAAATTAATCCCAAACAAACCTGTAGCAGCCAGTTGGAGACCAAAAACCTCAAGGACATCCTAATCAGGGTGAAGTTAACGCTATTCACTAGGCAAGTCCACCCTAGTCAATCTAGTCACTGTTGCGATAAAAGGTGCAAGACCTGTCAACGTATGATAGAGACCAGAACATTTTCTACCACAGTGACTAGATAAAAGCTAAACATACATGGTCCAAACAAAACGTGCAAAACAGAATATAATTTATCTCAGTATGTCGGAGAAACTGAAAAGCTACACAGAAAGATTAACCTGCATAGATCTGATTGAACACAAAAAATCTGCAATGAAGCCCAGTCACAGAAAACTTCTCCTCCCCTGGCCACACTTTCAATGATATAAAACTATTGCAATTGCTCAAAACCCCAGCTGGTGTTCTGAAACCCGAACGAAAAAGAAATCTTACTGGATAGGCCGTCTTAAAACAGTAAAACCAAGCTGTTTAAACCAAGAAGACTAGAAAAAGACAGTCATGCACAAATGAAATTATGTATTTTTTGCAGCTGACATATTCTCTTTAAAATAATTCTCTAAATTTGCTTAATAGCCTCAATTATTGCTATGACAATGAAATATCCAGGATATAATTTGCGCTAATATAAAGTTATACAAAACAACAGATGACGTTATAGCTCGTCGATCTCTATGTCAACAAAAATATTTTCAAGCATCCGCAACAAGTTGAAATAAACTAATTGAGACATAATAAATTTAAAGGTTTAATTCCTGTAGAAACAGCCATGCAAAGTTTTGAAAACACTGAAAACACGAAGGTTTTTGAGTTTTATTTCTACTATATTTTGTAGTTGCTTTTGAAAAAGACTGGTTAAAAGTAAACAAAAAACTCAGGCTAGTTATACTAGTTTTGCAGTGTTCGTTGTCAGTTTATTGTATATAAACTTGATATAGGCTGTCTGAGACAATACATTTAAAAGTATAATTCATGTAGAAACAGCCATGTAGAGTTTTGCAAACAAAACTTGTTTTGTGTTTCATTTGATTGTTATGATTATGTTATTGTATATATGCCTTTGAAAAAGACTCATTAAGAGTCAAAAGCGCTCAGGCTAATTAGGTACTAGCTTTTCACTGTTCGTTGTCAGTTTATTGCATTTTTCTCTATCAGTCCCTATCACACGTGATCTCTTTCTTAGATGGATGGATGGATGGATAGACAGACAGACAGATGTCTGATAGTCCTAAACTAACGTTTTAAATGATCTCTCTCATACAGACACACACACACACACACAAGCACACAAACAAAAAATACATATTAACACCTATCACCTACTGGACAATGCATTATCCAGCTCTTAAATTCTATGTCTTATTATGACGTATGAGATCGTCTTTTCTTTTGAAGGAATACCCAGTCAGATGACCGAGATGCTAAGTCTAGAACATCGAAATCGACGATCTTATATTGTTCACAACCTGAGTCCCCACACAGCATACAGTTTTCGGATCAGGGCTGTAAATGTTCCCCACGGTGCAGGGAATCCTAGCATTCCAACAGGTAATATTGCTAGCTCTTTTGTTGATTATTATATCTTCTTGTCATTGTTTGTCTCTTGATGTGTTGAATTGATTAAATCAATATTATGCAGTCTGTCTTCAAATTGAATCAACCGTTTTCTAGTACGGGAGCCTACTCTACGCCCCAAAAATATATTCTTTGATTGTTGACACATTTTTCCCAATAGCTATTAAACGATAAAAACACAAAAATCAAGTAGAAATTAATGATATTGATAAAATGATTCACGTTTATCACATACATATTACAAATCAATAGAAATCGACATTTCAGAACTCATATATGACATTACCATAGATTTTGATTGAGAGTTGCAGCATCTGATTTTTAATCATGTACTTAATGTAGAACTCCAAGTGCGATTGGACGCGATTTCGTTGAAATTAAAGGATCGCATTGAGAGAAAGAATTTTAAAGCCTGCGAGAGAACACAAGTGCAAAAACACAAGAAAAGCAACCATGGAGTCGTCGCACATGTGTACTGGCCATTGCTGCTAGCGTCATTCTATTTGAAACTACTGCCACTTCTTATTAATACTACGATGAGTAAAAACACCACGCTTAAGGCCCCTGCATGCATCACTAGGTTACTCTCAGTTTAGTTTATTTCACAGTTGTATTAAAACTTCTTCGAAAACTAATTTGCTCTATGAGTACACTGTTACTGATATAGAAATATAGGCATGCACTACTGGTGTAGCAAATAGAAACTACCAGTTCGAATTGGTGATAGCACAATCTTCCTAGGAGTATAAAGTTTCAGAAAATCAAACAATAACATGGCGCTTGATTTCTCTAGCCGAGTGTCGAATCTCGGTTATCATGCACTAATTTCAAAAGTGACCTAACCGCCTATAAAAGAACTGTTCAACAACCGTGAGAAAACTCTCATCACTTTTCATTTGCAATGCGATCCAAAATGACAAGTTCTATTGACAGTTATTGACGCATTCCTCTCTGTTCCCCTCGACTAACAAGCTGGAAGTTGGTAAATTCCTTGGAACTGACTGTCTCCTGACAGTGTTCAAAGCTACAAGTGGTCTTTAGATTCAGTATACTTACCGAGTGCATTGCTTAGCAACCAATTGTTGTTTTCATTTCCTACAAATTATTGCACCTTCCATTCAGGGATCAAAGGTTACAAGTGTGTGTTTGTGTGTGTGTGTGTGTGTGTGATGTAACTTTAACAATTTTTCATTCATATTGCTGTGACGTCTGCAGTTCGACAGTTTATCGTGATGTGTAGCACATGGACATTGTGCCGTAGACATGTATCATGATGTCCCGCCCGGTCACATTATCCTGACACCCGGTAGAACAGTCCTAATACCGAATCTCTTTTAACGCTGAGAGCAAATAGGGGCATCAGCTAGGACAAATTACGATATATATTGCAAATAAATACTGTTTGATTTTCAAGTGAACATAGTTACTAATATTTTTCTGCATCGTATTTAACTTTGTTCCAAAGGGAAATTATACCAGGCTTGGACGAAAAGTACTGGATATAAAGCTGAAGATCCTGAAACACTAATCCTTAATTCTTCATGATTTTAATTAGGTTTCTATCTTATGACTTCCGACAAGCCGACGGTGGCGCCTACCAACATCGGTGGTGGTGGTGGCAGTGAAGGAACTCTCACGATTACATGGGATGTAAGTTCAAAAATAAACAAAGCATGCGCAGAAAAATCTCTGATCAGTTATGACTCAAAAACACAGAAACGAATATGAAGAAAAATGTCAAACATTAATTTTCGAAAAGATTTAGTCATATGCTTTGATGAGACTCCTACGTATATAATGATTGTTGACACAATCCCTGGATGGTTGTTCAGTTGATCACAATCAAATACAACCTTCAGTTTAAACAATGATGAATACACATCTTACCTTTGATTTCACTTGGCACATTCGATAGTTTGAATACACAAAGAACGGTGCATGTTTTTGCGCGCGCATGTATGTGTGTGTGTGTGTGTGTGTGTGTGATTTAGATTTTTTACTTAGCTTTAACAATTTTTCAGTTATATCGCTAAGATGTCTGCATTCTGACAGTTTATAGGGAGGTATAGCACTGGGGCATCATGCAGCAGACATGTGGCATCATGTCACACCCAGTCACATTATCCTGACACCAGATCGACCAGTACTAACACCAACCTCTTAATCCTGAGCGAGAAACGAGGCAGCTGTTATTACCATTTTTAAAGTCTTTGGTATGACTCGGTCGGTGCTCGAACCCATGACCTCCCGCATCCGAGGCGGACGCTCTAACCATTAGGCCACAGGAGGGGTCTACATCTTTTTTGCAGCATACATAAATTATAAGCAAGTTTACTGCAGATGAATATTTGGTAAATACAAAATAACAACATGAAACTCTTACACATCAAAAAGGACAATTCATATAAATTCTAATATTCTCACATGTGCATGAAATGGGAACAAAATTCACTTTAAATACTTAGGTAAAATTGTAAAGTATATGCCATGAGTATTTCTTATGTCGCTTGTATCATTTCTTGTATAACTTAAATCAACGAGAACGTTATATATATATATATATATATATATATATATATATATATATATATATATATATATATATATATATATATATATATATATATATCACTAGAAAAGCTAGTATTTGTTTAATCAGACGAATGCATTACAATTTTAGTATATATGTTGATGGAGACGTGAAAACATCTTTCAACAGGTGAAATGTCAGGTCAAGTCAATAGAAAGAAAGAAGGCCTCGATGTGATCAGTTTAGATCCAATATTAGCATGTAAACTTAACTCACGTTTTTAAATACATTTTAAGACAGACCTGTAATTAATTTTCATGACGATATATATATATATATATATATATATATATATATATATATATATATATATATATATATATATATATATATATATATATATATATATATATATATATATATATATATTATTACAGCCTCTGAGCAAGGCAGATGAGGCGGGACTTGGTTTCGGATACGAAGCTTTCTGGAGACTTGCGAACGAAACAACTTGGTCTAATGTATGTCATTATTAATCACGTGCATGTCAGTTTGTTGTATGGAATATAGACAAATATACATGTTTGCCTGTATATAGTCAAATGTTAGTGGACAGACATATATATATATATATATATATATATATATATATATATATATATATATATATATATATATATATATATGGTGTCTTGATTTCCATCTTTATTTTACTCATATGTTTTATAATACAGACCAAACAATAAACCCGCAAAAAGGGTCAGAAATATTTTTTTACGGATTTAATATGATTATATTCTTTTGTTTTTGGAAAAATTATTTGACGTGTTTAAGTATATGCTGATGCCAAAATAAAACAATATGAAAATTGTAAACAATTGTAGCAAAGTTTTACTATAAAGTTTTCCGTATATCCCACATAAACAATTTTCTTTTACAGTTTCTGGAAAATTAAACTTGCCATATTATATATAATCAGTGGCGTTGCAACTTCCCAAGCAAACAAGGAAAGAGGGTCCTAAACTCACATTAAACAACTTGGGTTTTTTTGGGTGATGGTTCAAGAATGAAGTTTTAAGGAGACGGCATTACATTTTTGCTACGCCATTGCATATAGTGTTAGGAGCCCCGAGTGGCCGATTGGTCTAAAGCGCTGTCCGTTACGGATCTCTGCCATCTCACCTCTGTCTGCGTGGGTTCGAGTCTAGGATTCTGCGAATGTGGATATTGAGAAAGCTTGCCAGCAGCTTCTCGTAGGTCGGTGGTTCTTTCTGGTGATTTCCCGGTTTCTTCCTCCACCATTAATAATGGCCACCATGAATAGCCTATCATGTGCTGAAAAATGTCGTTAATCCCAACAACAACATCGTATTGTGCATTCCATATATCAGTTATATGACACTCTATTGTTAGGCGGTTCATGTCCCTTAAAGTGAATGTTTGAAATTTAAAAAACTTTGAGAAATGTTCATCCAATTTAATTTAGCTAACTCCTTTTAAGGCAAAAGCTGACTTATTATATAGTAAATAATTTTATCTTGAATTATTCCTCCATACATGCTGCCTCGTAAAGATTATCTCTTATACCCATGTTATAGCCATGTTATACCCATGTTATACTTTTCCCTCTTGCCTATAGTCATAGATACATATTTTTGAAATTCTAAGATTGTTCCCTTTTATTTTTGCACAGGTTTTCATATTCTCCTAATCCCATATGGTTCCCATTCATCTTGTATCTCGTGATAGTAATGGTTCTAATAGGATGTGGCCATACCGTTGCGATGTTTTTCACCTTGGTCACTCTGTCTGTCCATTTGATATTCAGCCTTCTTAAGACACTCATTATTAATTACTTTGCCTTTTTCTTCCTTCTTTAAGAGTCTAAACCACATGAAAGTACCGACTAATAGTATGACGGTAAAGATGCAGATTTTAATTTTTGCAATAAGGACTCTGGATCTACAAATAAACTTCAGAATGACCGGCGCTTGATGTCCAATGTAACGCACTATCTCCCTAATCAGCACACCTGAAAGCTCAGAAGCTATATGGTAACATCACAGATGCATTCGTTCTCTTCTTTCAACAAATGTTGTCTTTATGTTTGCTTTTCATTTCATGAAGATGATGGTACAGACTCAGTCTTGTATTCCATGGGACTTCAAATAATTCCATATAACCTCACGGTTCATATGATTGAACTTGTTATCAAAATCGATGAAATGTACGTCAATTTGACTGATTTTTCCGTGATTAAAACATTAATTTCGTATATTCATCAGTAAATATATTTCCGAAACTTTATTGCTTATTGCTGGGTTTTAGTATCCTTTCATAAATTTTGTTGTTAAAAAGCAAAATGGGATCTTTCTAAGGGTTTTAAGTACAAATTTTTCTTCCAGTCTCTCGATCGTTCGGTTTAAAATTTGTTCTGTAATAATTATAAAAGTTTTTGCTGCGTGTGCTCTCTGCTATCTTTAATGCATTAGCTGCAGTTAAACTTTTCATGAAATATTTACGCAATCGTTTTATTGAAATCTTGGCTTAGTTTTATGTTTTATTCTTTATATAGATATGGATTTATGTGCATTTCAAATGGTTTGATAAACCGTATTAATGCAGCGTTTTCTTTGGAAGGCCAGTTGAATACATCTTGAAAGTTCTTCTTATTAATATGTGTGACTACCTTGGTAACTAATTGTCCACGTTAAACTTTCATAGACATTTGCATTTCGACTCGGCTGCTTTGTTCAAGGTGATAAAGTTTGTATAGATATTTTGGTTCATCAGCTCACTGTCTCGTCTTCAGTTTTTCTTTCTTCACCATAAAAGAGATTAGAATTTAATGTGCTTTTTGCCTCACACTTTCTTCAAGCATTAGGGTGGGTGGGATGTTTTTATTCTAATGCCCATGTCTGCTTAACTTGCTTCCCTTTTGGTATGTCTACTCAAGTCAACCGTTCGTTTATAGTGTTCTACTTAGTACACGTAACTAATTTAGTAATGTTTTTAGTGTTTTACTTAGTATACGTAACTAATTTACTAATGTTTTAGTGTTTTACTTAGTACACGTAACTAATTTACTAACGTTCCAAAGTTCTACACATTTTGGTGCTCGATCGTTTTCTTTCTTGGAGCATTTGGAAATAGTTTGTCGGACCTACTTAGTAAAAATATTCACTGCTGTTTTCATTGATATTTTTCACGTCAGATTTAAGTCTTCTAATTTTTCTTACAGTTGCAATGTAAAGTTTATTTTGCTTGTAATATGATCGTAAGATGCAATGTCTCCGCCTTGGGTGACACGTATAACTTCAAGTGCCCATTATTATCATGTATGGATTACAGTACTTGGTTTTGTTCTTCAGAATGACCATCAGGTGACACGTGTCAGGTGACACCGTCAGGTGACACGTATATAACCTTATTGCATTCCTAATGGTAGGATTGCATGATTCACTGTATAACAGGCACATATATAAGTTTTGCTATTATCAGTCATTTTACACCATGGGTTCATCCTCTTCTTCTTTTCAAAACGGTGTAGCATCTCTTGGTTCTTGAGGATCATCTTTTTCTTTTACGGAATATAGAAGATTCTAGCCTGATTGGAGTTTTTGTATTGTTAAATGAATTCCATGCAGTTTTGCTTTTGCCGATGATAGTTAGGATCCATTTGGTATTGATACAGAAATGTATGCATTGCTCTTCGAATTGTCTACACTTATATGTATTTCTCAATGTATGTACATTTAATGTTTCATTTCCTGTGATCAGTAGGTTTTGAGATCTGTTTCATTAGTGCTTGGCGCTTCATGTGCCCTTTTATTGGTTGTCCTCCAGTGGGGATATATGTGCTGAATATAGTGGCTTTCATTTTGTGAACTGTTTGAATTTAATGTTTTGACATGTCACATTTTCACGTATGCCACCATTAGCAGTCCCACTGTAGGTAATGGGTATGTTTTCACTGATACCTTAGCGAGTACCATATTGTACTTCACTCTAACAGACAATACCCAATTTTATAAACTTGTTGCATGTGGGATTTGGACTTGGAAGTCGGTAAATGAATTCAACATCATACAAACCTAAAATCGTCGTTCCTCCTATTTTTTTATTTGGTTGCTTTTTTCTTTTTAAATAACATACATACATACATACATACATACATACATACATACATACATACATACATACATACATACATACATACATACATACATACATACATACATACATACATACATACATACATACATGCATGCATACACATACATACATACATACATACATACATACATACATACATACATACATACATACATACATACATACATACATACATACATACATACATACATACATACATACATACATACATACATACATACATACATACATACATACATACATACGTCTGTCTGTCTCAGGAAGTTTTATTTCTAGATTGTTCATCGATCCAACTTCAGTAATATACTTCAGAAGTTTCAATGTGATATTACGTATTTTAGCTATCGCTATCTATTATACACAGCTCCCATGAACTGTAACTGCGAATTATGTAACGCCATTTTTACATTTCTGGTGTTTATCATTGGACTTAAGAGGCATTATTAACTTTCACCTTTTGAGTGATGTTTTTATTTATTATTTTCTAGAAAAGAGTTGGGAACGTTACTAAATATGTGGTAACACTAACCATTGACCTATATTTCCTTCTTTATGACGTAAAAGTACGTGCCTACAATGATATTGGA